CTTTAAAAGAGAAAGCATAAGGAAGATATTTAAGTTCCTTATTAAGAAAAATATCTTGACATTCCCATTTAATAAGAAGGCGGATGAAGAAGAGCAAACATCCACTATATTGCTCCTTTCACCGACATATTAGGCATGCACTTGAAGATTGTTTTGTTTTCAAGGATAAGGTGGAGAGTCTTATGGCCACTGGGAAGATACATATTCAGGATAGTGATCTGGTGCAGCCTTAGGGCAAGGCTACTCAGACAGTGCAGCTGATTTCAAACTCCAGCCACCGTGACAGTCAGAGTTACAGTCAGGGCAGTAGTAGCAGGTCATCCCACAGTTCTGGAGGAGAGTGACAACTAGCATTCTCCAAGAAGACCTAATAGATGATTAAGCAAGCTGTATAGAGTTCAGAGGCAGTTGAGAGGAGGTCTCCCCAGGCCAAGTCGACAATTGCCACTCCAGTTTCTTTGCTAGTATCCGTTTCTTCTCTTCCTTCTTCTGTTATAGTGCCAGATGAGCACATTTCTTTTTCTGCTTTTATTTGTACTAAAAAAATATATGAAAGAGAAAAGATTATTGTGACCACAGAAGGGAAGGGGGCACAACACTTACGCTGAAGGACTTTTGAGTTATTTTTGCTTTCTTGCATCTTCTAGCTCTAATATCTTTATAGTGATGACTGATGAAAGAGTATGATCTCTCTATCTCATTCCATGTGTGAAGAGATTTCTTTTTTTTAATTAAAATTTATTTTAAATTGAAATTGAATTTAGAAGTGAAAATTTTCTTTGTTATCTTGTAATTCTATCTCATATATAACTTTAACATGCTGATGAATAAACTTAATAATTTTCTCAATTAAGTTAATTTTTATCACAAGATCGGATTTGTTTTGTAGATTTTTCTTCCTTGTATGAGAGAAGTGAGTTTTCTTCTCTTGTATTTGTAAGATGATCTTACAACTGAGAGAGTTTTCTTTTAGAGATTTGAAAAAGAAGGCGGTTACAAAAAATTGAAAAGATGTGTAAAATGCATCAAAATTGAAAGATGCACAAAGTGCATCAAATAATTAAAAAATTATGCAAAGCACATTAAAATTGAGAAAACGACACAAAATGAGCCCTAGGATGGATCTAAGCCGTTGATTATGAGTATAGAGCTTTAAATAGAGGGAATTAGGGTTTCAATGATCTTTTTCTTTTATTCTCTCTCTAGCCTCTTTCAACCCGAACTTTTTTTTTGGTGAGAGCTCTTCCAATTTCTCCGCACCTTCTTCCACTCAAATCCACCAGTCAAACCCTGCCGGCGCCGACTTTCCGGCGAGATCAAGCCCTCGAGCCGGTTGACCTAGAGTTCATTTGTTCGTGATTTCAATTAAAGAAACATGCGAGGACAATCTACAAGCTCAATCGTTTGAAGACCTCGAAGATCTAACGGTAAGAATTTCTCAAAAAAAAAATTAGATCTGGGTCACTACACTTAGATCTATATAGCTTTTTAAAAAGTGTTAGAACCTTCAAACCTGGCCTATTTTTCATAGTGATATTTTGGACCTTAGCCTAGCACCTAGGAGGACCCGAGACTTTTTAAAATTGACTAATATAACTTAAACTTCAATTATAACTACCCTAAGCATTAAAATTGATCCACAAACTAAAATGAAATAAAATAGATCATAATTCATTAATATTTATACTTCAATTAAAGCTTCCCCCTTTTTGCTTTCAACAAATATGAATTTTAGGCAACTTGGATTAAGTACCCTACATAGGACCTATCCAAAGCCACACAAGCCTGCTACACACACATAGATGTGCTAGGGCATCACTTCTAGCTTTAGGATTAGGGCCGATGTTTACCTTTTTCTGCTTTCCTTTCTGTTTTTATGATGATCTTGCTTGTGACATGAATGTTGATTTGTTTGATTGCTTTGACTTGTGGTGATGATTGTTTATTTCTTTATTATGTTTTCTATGCTTTACTTATGTGATTTGTGCGTTAGAATGTCCATGGGCTATGACCGTCTTTGTACTAATCCAGCCTTATGTAGGTGGCCGCGCTCATGCAACACTAATAAAAAAAAAGGGGCAGTAATGATTTAAAGCTTTTAATACTAATATTATTTTTTGCAGATGCTCCAGAAACTGCTCAGCCCCCTTTAAAATTAAAAGAGCATGACCAAGCGTGTTTATATTTCTGCATCTATTAATTGCTTGTGATGTGATATAAATTGTTTGAGATGATTTTTATTAGGATAACCATGTAGAAGTCCGAGTCTAGATTTTCTATTTTTCAAATTCAATTTATATTCATATTGAGTTGTGAAAGTCTAAAAGTTTGGCATTTCAAATATAAGGTACCCAAAGAGAATAAGAAAGGCCCATTCTTGGGGATTTTTTTAATCATTTGGGTACACTTCTGGGGGACAAACCATATGGAGCCCGAAGGAGATGATCCAAAAGGAGGTGAACCGGAGAAGGACAATCCACTTGAAGACGGAGACTTGAAGATAAAATGCCCGGCTTTTAAGACTTGCGTTATTTACTAGGATTAGAATTCAAGTTGTTATCGGTGAAGCTTGGCCACCACTACTTTTTTGCAGACATTGGGTTGTACTTATACGACACTTGCCATGGACTTTTTTTACTTTACTTTTTCTGGTGAATTTATTTTGATGTATTTGTTTTTCATGCGCATTAGAACTACATGCTTTTTTTAGGTTTATTTCTTGCATATGTATGACATGTTTTCGTTAGGCTCTCTAAGGACTAAAAAAATATTTTTTACTCGTAATTAAAGACAAATATTTTAAGACTTAAATAATTTAGAAACCTAACGATCTAGGGAACTGTCGGAACCGTCCGGGGTGCATGCATATTAAATGCATTCTTCTCTCTCCTTCTAAGAAGATACAAGGCCACTTAGGAGCCCTCAAGACGTCGGCCTTAACTTCCGAAAAAACTAATCCACCCATCTATCTTTCATAAAAGACTGGACAACATGATTTTGAATCGATTAGGTGGTTAGCTGGCTCCCTAATCCTGGCCGGGGTAAGTTCAGGTTTTGCACTGCATTAGCTATGACACAGGTGTTAGTGTTGTGTGTAGAACACTAAATCCAAGTTAGATTTAGGATTCAAGGCTTCTACATTAGGTCTCGTAGTACGCCTAAATGGTAGATAAATTTCCTTCTCTTCAGGGGCTATAAATTCTGTTTATCTGCGTCACATAGATGGCGCCACTTTCATCCTTTTTCTTTGCGTGTTTTGGGTGATTGTTTTCTTTTCTCCACTTTCTCAATGCCTTAGTCCCTCCAGATGCTGAGATGAACCTCGCATGTTGATTAAACCCCTTTAGCCTGTCTTTCTTTTTTAGTAGGAATTTCCTAGTCTCCCTTTTGTGTGCCAATCAAGCTTGTGAGGCCTGCAATGCTTTATAGTGTCGAATGTTGACCATTAAAAGAGAAGCATAATACTAAGTTAAGTGTGACAGAGATGAGGATGCTCATGTGGATGAATGACTTTACCCTTAGAGATAGGATACGAAATGAGCATATACGTGAAAAGGTTGGAGTAGCTCCAGTGGAAGATAAGATTAGAGTGAGTCACCTTAGATTGTTTGGTCACATAAAACGGCGGGCTTCAGATTCCCCGGTTAGTAAGTAGATGTATTAGATTTGACTTATGTTAAGAAAGATAGAGGTAGACTTAATAAACTTGATTATAAAATATTAGAAATGACTTTTCTTTATTAGATTTAGATGAGAATTGGACTCTTAACATGACACAATGAAGAAAAAGGATTCATGTAGCCGACCCCACATAGTGGGATAAAGGCTTGTTGTTGTTGTTGTTGTTATTGTAGTAGTGCTAAGAGGTATAATCTTACTTTGATTGGTTACTCTTTTGGCACTCCATAACTACTGATGTTAGACAATGCTTCGCCATACATATGTAGTAACTTCAATAGGCCTTCAACATTTGGAACTTGGATGCTCTTTTTTCTTTTAGTAAATATAAAATGAATAACTTGAAGACTTTTCAGCTGTGCCTCCCTTGCCTTTATGACTAAAAAATGAACCACACCAGCAAGATGAACACAGTAAGACGAAGAAGTGGAAAGAAATTAGAAAACATTTTATGCTTGGAAAGAATTTTTCATCTGTATTGCTTAAGAGTTATTGTTGGTTTGAATGTAAATTTTCACTTTGATTTGGTTGTCATCTTGGTAGCGATATGGAAGGATTGAGAATTGAAACTGAAAAGAGGGTCATTCTGAATGCATTTTTTCTTTTCTAGCTCTCTCTCTCTCTCTCACAAGCGGGATTTCTGCTCAATAATGAGGTATTTTTGACGATCTGGTTTATCAACTTCACAGAGAGGAGGAAAGAGGGAATGGATGAAGGTTTCCCGGAGAAGGGAGAGACCGAGAGGATATGAGTTGCGGTTTTGATCCTATTTTGGATCAGCTGTTTCTGAATCCTGTTGCGGCTCAGCTATAGGTGAATCTGAAGCAATTCCCGGAACTTACCAGGAATAGGCTAATGGCGTTAAAGTCTTAATTATTTTAAGATTTAATTTTTGGTCTCCTTCAAAATTGGATTGGCTGTCTGTATTCTTTTTATATTTTCTTGCAACTGCTCAGGTAAAAACTTATTTGGACTAATATTAAAAGCTCATAATAGAAGTTATGGTGACATAAGAACTATGTGTCTGATTGGTAAAACTTCTTATGAATTCTTATCAATGAATGGTCATTTTTAATGATCAATAGCCTGGTTACTTTGTTTAACATGTTTTTGATATCAAGTAACTTTCTTTTGTTTGGTTCAACAAAGAGAGGATATTTTTTAACTTTATTTCATGGTTCATAAGGTTTGCTAGCATATGTACTGCGCAGGAGTTATTTTATAATTCAGTCTATTTCTAGCTGACCATCCAACTTGTAAATGTACTAGTCGTTACATTAGTCTTTTATCTTATTTACTTGTTTTCTTACTATCCATCACAGATCGTGGATATTATTCAGTGGAGACTGTAACACTTTTGGTGGCCCTGAAAGTTCGTTTCAGGGATAGAATTACGATTCTTAGAGGAAACCATGAAAGCAGGCAAATTACTCAAGTGTAAGCGCTTTATTTTCTTGACTACCAGTTTAGTTCTGAGCATAATTGTGGACACTCATAAAATGTCATAGGCCGTTAACGTAGATGTGTAGCATATTCTTCTTGAGAGAGACTTTAACTCTGGCCGGTGTTCTTTCCTTATTGTGAACAAATCAAACACTATTTTGACCCATGATTTTTTTGAAAAACATTTTGTTTCAGTTTATTATTTACTTGGTACTAATTGTCAATATATTGCAACTATAACATATTTTGGAGATGTCATTTTTATCATCAAGGAAACTTGATCAATGTTTAGATTTATAGAAAGTTTTTAATGGAAACCTAGGCGCACATCTAATCTTGTTATAACTTATGTCTTCTAATATGTAAGCTTCCTTTTGATTTTCATTCAGATATGGTTTCTATGATGAATGCTTGAGAAAATATGGGAATGCGAATGTGTGGAAATATTTCACCGACCTTTTTGATTATCTACCCCTTACAGCTCTAATAGAAAATCAGGTTTGAAGATATTTTCATTTTCTAACCTATCTGTAATGTACTGCCGTTGCATTTTTAGGCCTTAAACTATTTGTTGTTGCAGATTTTTTGTCTGCACGGTGGCTTGTCCCCCTCACTGGACACCTTGGACAATATTCGGTCCCTTGACCGTATACAAGAAGTATGCTCCATTTCTTCACCTAAGAACTCTGTTCTGCCTGCTTATTTTACATAAAATGAGATTTTGTGTTTTGCATGCGATGTAATGAGCAAATCTCTCATTTATCTAAGTGTGATAAGGAAGTCGGATTCTTACTCTGATCATGAAATGAAGGAACGGGAATTTTTAATTAAATGCCTGTAGTGTGCTGAATGATTTGTCCTTCCAAGGTTTAACTGCTGCTAGATATTAAACAGATAATTTTGCACTTTGATAACCGTCTAACTTTGCACCTTAAACAGTGAGATTTTGATTTATCTGTATCCTTAATAACTTTATTAAACAGGAACAAAGTGTGTAATTTAATGCGAAGATGTCAAAGTTATACCATTTTTTGGTCTCTTTTTCTGTTGTTTAGAGAACTAATGGGTCCAGAGAACATGGATAATCTTATATTATGTGGGCGGTAATGATTCTAAATTTTTTTCATAGATAATTACAGTCAAATGAGCACCTTCATATAATATTAGACTTGAAACTCTGAACCTACAGGCTAGTGAGTTTCTTTTCAATGTGAACCGAATGGTGATGGCTCCCTTGTTCAAGAAACTGTAGACACTCCTAAATATAGATTGCATTAAGAATTGCCTTCGTTATACTTGAACCATGTTTTCTATGTCAGCAGTAGAATTCTAGTCTATTATCTTAGATATGATTTATCTCTGCATTAAAGGCTTGGTGATTGGTAATATGGCTAGACAACACTCCTAAATATGGATTGCATGTTTATTTTTTTGAGTTAGTCTCATAAACACAAAAAGGCCCATAATTCTATTCAAATCTTTTGATTTATTCAATACATTTCTATCTGCTTTTCTTTAAAAGCAAATTTAACAATGCATTTAAATCTTAGGTCCCACATGAAGGGCCCATGTGTGATCTCCTATGGTCTGATCCAGATGATCGATGTGGGTGGGGAATATCGCCAAGAGGTGCTGGGTACACATTTGGACAAGACATTTCGCAGCAGTTCAATCATACCAATGGCCTCTCTCTGGTTTGCAGAGCCCACCAGCTTGTAATGGAAGGTTTCAATTGGTCTCAGGTGTGTTAATTTAATGTTTGCTACAATCTTCTAAGCCTTTTGGATTGATTAAACGAAAGCTATATATATGTTTTTGGCTGCAGCTTTTTAAAGTTTCAGGCCGATATTACTCTTTTACATTTTGAATCCCTTTTCTTATGCAAGAGAAGTGGAGTGAAATCGAATAGTTTCTTTATTTTTATCTTTTTGATCTGCTAGGTCCTGTAAGATTTTGAGGGCATTATGTTCTTAGGATAGCTCATTCTGATTTGATGACCAAATGTCCATTTTTATCATATATGTAATCTCTTACTATGCAGGATAAAAATGTTGTTACAGTATTTAGTGCACCCAACTACTGTTATCGTTGTGGTAACATGGCAGCCATACTGGAGGTTGGGGAGAATATGGAACAGAATTTTCTACAGTTTGATCCCGCACCGAGGCAGATTGAGCCCGATACGACCCGCAAGACTCCAGACTATTTTCTGTAATTTTGATAACTTTATACATTTGGTAGTGGTGCTTATCCACCACAAGGTGTGTGTGCAGTAGATGTGTCTCTGAGCAGTGAGAATCATCACCCTCATTCTTTCATGTGAAGTTTTTGCTACCACTGCCACCATTCCAATGCTAATTCTAGGAAACTTTGAGAAAGTTAATATTGTGCACACTTTGTATTTGAAGAAATGACAGGGAAGCAGCAATAACAAGCAGAATTTCTCCCCTCATACTGATTTTGCCCATCCAAAAGAAAAAAACAGAAGAAATTTTCAACACTGCAGTGGCTCATCTTTCTTATAATACTCCTTGATTGCTGTTGACCTTGCTGCATCATCCAATTGTAGTGCTCTGTGAATGCTCCAAGATATATAGTTCAGAATTGCTTCATTGATGCCAAATAAACTGGCATCTGTAAGTTGAAACTTTATTGATGTGTTTAAGAATATTTCAGGAACATTTATTTTCTTTACTATCTCAATAATCTAGCCTTGATTAATTTTACACCGTTTACCTGGGTTTGTGCTGCTTGCTTCCTAAGCCCTATCAGGTGGTTCAAGTTGCAGCCAATTGAATTTCAGTTGGGTTGGCCTCTTCAGGGTTTTCACTACTTCATGAACTGAAAATTTTCTTGTTTACAAGGTTTTTTTTTAAGCTGATCTCATACTGCCAGAGTTTACCGATTGCCAAGTTTTGAGGTCTAGGTTTTCCTGAACGTTTTTTCCTTTTTTAGAACATGTTATTAGAATAACTTTGATTTATGAAGAAGAAAATGGGAATATAGGGTTTCAGTCGCAGGTATGTATGAAGTTCTATTATTAAAGCAGTATACAATTGTTGTTTTAGGACAAGTTATTACGTGCGGTAGATGAGAGCAGTCTGAGCTCAATGGAAATGGATCATATCACCTCTTAATCGGTATCTCGGTTTGGTATTATTCAGTACCGAGTTTGATACTGGACGATGTGATTGCATCTGATTCGCCTCTAGACGATAAACTGTGTTCGATATCCGCACATAATAATAAAAATTTTTCGGTTAGTATAATAAAAAATGTTCGGTTTTATACCTTTCTATTGTTGCTGATATTGCCGAAAGTGTGTACGGTTGAAAAAAAATTAGTGCAGCAAGCTTTATTTGAAAATTGCTGCAGAAGCTCCTTTTCTTGAAATGAATGTTCTACGTCTTAAAATCTCGCTGCAATTTGACCTCTTTTACACAAGATTACGAATGAAAATAGCAAACCATTCTTCTATGGAGAAATAAAAGGAAAATGATTTTTAATGCTATACACCAATAATTTCAAGTCATAATTTTTAAAGCCAGTTTTAATAAAAAAATAAATAATTAAAAAGTTTTGGATTAAAAAAATTTATTTTAACAAAAATAATAGAAAGTTTTAAATTTTATTTAGAATAAATTATTTGTAATATAAAAATTTCTAATTAAAAAAATTATATTAAAAATTACTTTAAAAAAAAAAGAAAATTATTCCAAATAAAATGTTAATCTTCTAAATAATATATCACTAAACTGTAATTTTTACTTCATAAAGTACATAATTAAAGTAAACAGTTATAAAATATATGACGCAGAAGCAATCAATTTTGTTCTTCAGCTTACCCTCTACAATGCTCTCATAAGAAAAAATAAAAAAAAAATCCTTAGTAACTAAATAATAATAATGGTAATTTTTTAAAGTTATAATAGCCTTTTAAAGGAATATTACTTCTACATTTAAACAAAGCAGTGAAATATAGTGGTAAGAAAAGAATATGATAGCACATAAATAATATTTGCAAATAAACTAATAAATACAAAAACTTGTTTGGTGTTAGATTTGTATCTCGTCCCTCCATTTCAAAACTTGTAAGAGAACAACCCTAAACCCTAAATTTAAATGTTTCATTACGCAATTTAAGCTTCATTTGGGACAGCTTTCTACCTACTTAAGGCCGTTTTCTCGTTTTGTACTAGAAAGTTGCTTTAAAAAGTAGTAATTGAAACCGTTTTGCTTCAAAATTACTAGTTTTCAGACCATTTTAATGTTCCCATGACCAGTAGTTTGCTTGGGAGTTCAGCCGGGCAAGGTGCCAGAAAAGTTATTCTTTTACTGCCAAAGAGAGAGAGTAGTTGTGTTTGTCTTTGCTCTTAAAAATTACTAAAAAGAAAAAAATATGAAGGAAGCAATACCTCTCAAAGTCAATTTCTGCCACATAAAGAAAGCCCGCAATATTGCTGCAAAAAGTAACATAAATGTTAATTTAAACTGATCAAATTTTATCTTTAAAAAAATTTCAAATATAGCATTATATTAGATAGCCTTCAAAATTTTATCATTGATATGAGATTTAGCGATATTTTTATAAATTTAAAAAGAATTAGATAGCTTGCACAAAAATTAGTGGATACTAAAAAAAATTATATTTATTATTTGATGTTCCCTTTGATTATACAAATTGCCAAAACAATGATTGAACCAACATTCTCTACTATGAAGATAATAAAAAATTAATTTGCGGAATTATATGTGAAACTCTTAAATAAATGATTGTCTTGTTCCTTATATTGAAAGAGACATATTTAATAGTATTCATAATGAAAAGACTCCACAATAATTTCAAAATATAAAAATTAAACGGAAAAAAAAAATTTATAAATGAAATATAAGAATAATAAGCTTTTCTATATCATATAATTTATCATCTTTATAATAACAACTATAACAAAATAAATAAATAAATCATTAATGCCAATCCCAATTCAGATGAAATAGGTTGAAGGTATTTTCAAAATCAATAATTTATGCCTTGTAGAAAGAAAAAAAATCAAACTATAATCAGACTTAGCTCTTACAAACAAAATAAGATCAATGATGCTCTGAAAAAAAAAAAATCTCTGATTAAATATTGTGTCTACCCCACTAGGAGGCTACCACACATGATATCATGTGTTAGGGAATGGCTTAAGAACATAATTTTTCATTGGATAATTGGTATTCAACCTAATATTTTCCTTCTCACAAAAAGAAAAGCATACTTTATAAAACCTCAAAATCTAGCGCACGCAGATCTATTGTTAGTGATGAACAAGATTCATTGAAGTTGTTAAATAGATTGAGAGTCATATATATTTGGCATTGGATAATGGTAAGTGGTGGTTTTTTTAAAAGGAGCTGAGGAGGATCAGGGTTTGAGTGGGCAGTAGCTCTAGTTGGAAGGTTTCCTTCCATTTGGACTGGTAATCTTGCTATTCCTGTTGGCTATATATTATGTAAAATGTCCAGCTTTGTGTGTATATAAACCATCATGTTATGAATGTTGAACATACTTAAATGTTTTGGTGGAAGATTTACTTCATCTTTGAATGATTTATTTCCAAATCCAGGATGAAAATTCAAAGGACGAGCAATCTAATGGAGATATTCAACATGGATGAGCTACTATAACATAACAACATAAAATTCACCCAAGTATTTGTGGTGGCCACCTCTGAAGTACATGAAAACTGTAAGTATTGTATGTGCAAAACTTCTTGTGTAACTTCTAGGACTTAGTTTGGTTTAAAGATCCTAGATCACTTGAATGTTTTTTGGATTGTATTGAGCTTAACAAAGCCAAATAATGAGCAAAGTTTGGCTTGAACCAAAATGAAATTGAGCCAAGCCTGGATAGAAACGAGCTAGCTCAAGACTGAATCTAAATGTATATGTATGTATATATGAACGGATTTATATATGTATGTCTGTGTGTATGTTGGACTAAGAATTTATTTTAGCAAATAAAAAATCAATTGAGATCAAATTAGGTTTTTGCTCAAATCAAGCTTGAATTGAAGTTAATAAGGCATATCTAGTTTGAATAAAACCAAACTATAATCAAACTTAGCTCAGCTCAACATCATATTAAATAAACTTCGAGCTAATTTGAGGTGAGGTTAGCACTACTCAAGAGCAAATTGTTAATAGCCTTGATGACTTCAAAAATCATCAAACATAACTAGTTATTTGAATAGCTTCATGGACATTCTCAATGTTTCTATGACAAGCTTCAAATGAAAAAAAAAAACTTTTTACAGGACATACAAGGATTATGAGCGTCCAAATGACCAATGACTTGCTAGCTTTTAGCTATAATGTTGGTTATCTTATTAATAATAAGTCTATTAGGGCAACATGTACACAAATCCAACACTCTAAAAAGCACTTTTACATAAGAATTATAAATTTATCAAATCAAAATTGACTCAAATAGGTTCAACTCGAGTTTAGGGTTAAGGTTCTTGGCTTGAAATTTATTTCGAGTCTAGGGTGGCTCAGTTGAAAATCAAATTCAAATTGACTTGGAATTATTGTATATTATATATATTTGGTATTTTGTTGCTCAAACAGGAGGTCCTAGGTTTAGTCCCTCCCTCCAACCTTATATTTTTACAATTTTGAATAAACTCAAAATTAATTTCGAGCTAAAGGAAATCAACTCATTTTAAGTCAAGTGGGCTCGTCTCCAAATTTAACCAATTTTGAGTCGAGCAAAACTAGCTCAAATTTTACTTATTTCTATCCTAATTTTTTCACACAATCTTCAATATATTGTATATTTGTCTATGAATATTATAACATCAATGGATAAAAATTTCAACAACATTCAATTCAAAACTCTTAGTGCAACCATTATGCATACTTCAAAGTATTATTAGATTACTCAGAATTCATGATCTTAGCACAACATTATTTTTTCATCAATTTTGTGTTGACAAATTGTCTAGATTGGTCGTCATTGGCCACAAAAAAAGGCATGTGATCTCATTATTTGCTTCACTTTCATAGTGGTTGGATGAATAGTTATTAATGGCGTGCATTATTGTGTACGACGCAATGAGATGCACTACTTGCAATAGAGCACAACTTAAAAATGGTAAATGTTATTGCTACCATATTGAAAGATGTTAGATATCTCGTCCAATTAACCTAGTGCTTACTGACATAAACAACTAATTACAACAACGACAACAACAACAACATCAAGTCTCTATACCACTATATGGGGTTTACTACATGAATCCTTTTTTTTTTCCATTGTGCCCTATTAAGAGTCAAATTCTCGTTTAAATCTAATAAAAAAAGACCATTTGTAATATTCTCTAACCAAGTCTTTTTAGGTCTACCTCAACCTTTTTTAACATAAGCAAAATCTAATATCTTATCTTCCACTAGAGCTACTCCAACCTTTTCACATATATGTTCATTTCATATCTTGTCTCTATGAGTAAAGCCACTCATACACTTGAGCATCCTTATCTCTGCAACAATTAACTTAATATTATGCTTTTCTTTTAATGGACAATATTCTGCACCATAAAGCATTGCAGGTCTCACCACCATCTTATAGAATTTTCCAATAAATTTGAAGGGGACTTTTCTATCACACTACAAGCTTGATGCCTTCATCCACTTCAACCATCCAACTTGAATTATGCTAATAATATCCTCATATATTTCATCATCACTCAGAACAATAAATAGACCCAAAGCATCTAAAGCATGCACTCTTATTAATGATTTGATTGCCCAAAGTCACAATCCCCCCACTAAATCTATTATTACTAAAATTGCACTCAAAATATTCAATTTTAGATATACTCAATTGAAAACCTTTAGACTCTAAGATAGACCTCCATAATTCAAGTATACCTTTAAGTCTTTAACTACCTCTCTAGTCTTATCAACAAGAAGAATATCATCAACAAAAAGCATACATAAGGGTACAACTTCTTGCAAATGTCTACTGAGAACATCCATGACTAAAGCAAAAAGATATGGGCTTAAGGCTATCCTTGATGTAATCCAAAAAAAATAAGAAAATACTTGTAAAACCACCTTATGTTTGAGCACAAGTGGCAACTCCTACATACACATCCTTAATGACTTGAATATAAGCATTTTTCTTTTCTAAAACTCTCCAATAGCACTTCCATTGGAACTTTATCATATGCTTTCCCTAAATCAATAAATATCTTATGAAGATCCTCCTTATTCTCTCTATACTTCTCCATCAAACCTCTCAATAAATGTATAACTTCCATAGTAGACCTGCCCGACATGAATCCAAATTGATTTTGAGAAACATAGTATCATGTTGTAAACTAAGCTCCATAACTCTCTCCATAGTTTTAAAGTATGAGACATTAACTTAATTCTTCTATAACTCGCACAATCTTGTGCATCACTTTTATTCTTAAAAATATGAATCAACACACTCATTCCATACTCATTGACGTAAAATGTTTAGTAAGCCAAGAAATTCATTCATCTCCTAAGAATTTCCACACCTTTATTGAAATATCATCAGGTCCAATAGCTTTTCCACACTTCATTTTTTTTAAAACCTCTCTAACTTCAATTTTACTAATATGCCGATAAAAATAAAAACCTTTATTTTCATTTAGGATGATAAGGTCACTAAAGTCAATCATATTCTCACAATCTTCATTAAAAAGTTTAGTAAAATATGTCATCCATCTTTGTTGAATATACTCTTATAATAAAATCACTTTTTGATTTTCATCATTAATGCACTTCACTTGAACTAAATCTTTACTAATCCTAGCTCTCAGCTAACTTATACATATATCTCTCGTCCTCCTTAATATCTAATCTATTATGTAAATCATTAAAAACTAAAATCTTTACATCGTATATTACTTACTTAGACTCCTTCTGGACCTCTTTATATCTTTCCCAATTATCAGAGTTTTTATATATAAACTAATTTTTCATAACAAATCTTCTTATTTTTAATATTTTCTTGGACATTTGGATTCCACTACCAACTATTTTTACTATTAGAAGTTTTTTCCTTTAATATTCCAAGTACATCTTTTGCAATATTCTTAATTAATAGTTATTTTTTTCCACATAATAATAATTTCCTCATGCACAGACAAAATATTAAGATCTAGAATCATACTCTCAAAAATATTTTCTTAATATTTTTTAAATGCCCCCATCTAATCCTTGAACAACCTTTTACTTTATTTTTTTCTATTCTGACCATTCATTTTAATGTTTAAAACTAATAAGCAATATTGGGTACGTAAACTTTCACTCGGAATATCTTCACAATCTTTGCAATCTAAACAATCTATTTTTCTTATAAGAAAATAATTAATCTGCGTTTTACTATATCCATTCTTATAAGTGATTAGATGTTCATTTTTTATTATTAAATAAGGTATTA